TCATTTCTGCTATTCATATATATGGGCAACAGCGCCTAGAATGCTACATCGGAGTTCAGGTTACCTAGATATTCTACTTCAAAAAAGAAAAATTATCTTTATAAATCAACAATTAAGGCAAAATATAAATTATAGTTCACAAGCCACATATACACATATTATATAGAGGAAGATAGGTTAGGTGCACAAAATGTCATATGTCGCAGAATGTCTCGGAACTCTGAACATAAGTAAACAGAACAGCACGCCTCTGAAATATGTCATCTTTGTTTGTCTCATATAGGTAACAGATTCATTGTCCTTTATTAGCTATAACCGATGTTGCCAAATGGTGAAATAGAAACGAATCCCTTTAAATGTTGAATGCATTATTTCATTCCTCTTTTTTACGTACCGTAAAACGGGGTTACAGTACCAACCCTCGGCTTACTTTGCACCATGCCTGTAAAAGTGTATGATCATACAATTACAGGATGCATTGTTAAATTTATACAAATTACTAGTTCCATCCCATAGAGGGAGTTACAATCGTCACCGGTGCGAAATTGTACGCTTCGGCCGCCGGTCAGAGGCCGTCAGTTGGATTTCAAATGCAGGATTATATAGAAAATTTTAAGCAAACCTTGGAGGTGGTTCCACATGCAATTTTTAATTATGATGAAACGAATTTAATAGATAATCCTGGTAAAAAAAAAGTAAAAGTTGTATATCCCTAATGATTGCAGGAAATGCAGTAGGTGAGGTTCTGCCACTTTATGTGGTATACAAATCAAAACATTTATGGGACACATGGACAGAGAATGGCCCACCAGGTACTCGCTATGCCAATACAGCATCTGGGTGGTTTGAGTCAGAAACATTTTCTGATTGGTGTTTCAGCTGTTATTGCCAAAACTGAAAAAAAATTGAAGGTTAAAAGGTTATTATCGGCGATAATTTATCTTCGCATCTGAATGTCGAAGTATTAGCAGCCTGTAAGGATCATAATGTACAATTTGTATGCCTGCCGCCAAATAGCACTCATGTATTGCAGCCCCTAGATGTGGCATTCTTTGCACCATTGAAAAAGGCATGGCGTGAAATTTTGTCAGATTATAAAGAATCCCACGTTGAAAACAGATCAAGTGTGCTCGAAAAACAACATTTTCCAACACTTCTAAGACGACTGATGGAGAAAATTTCTGAAAACAGTGCTTCAAATTTAATAGCCGGATTCAGAAAATGTGGAATCGTTCCTTGTGATTTAGGTACCTTGCTAGAGCGATTACATAGCAATCATAGCAGTGTCAGCAATCAAGAGAATATACCTGCGATAGAAAATTCCTGTCTGAATCTTTGGAAAATAAAAGAAGGGAGGCTACTCAGTTTCAAGTCCAGGGAAAGAAAAAGAAAACAACAGTTCCAGCCGGAAAAAGTATTGCTCACAGTGAAATCGATTCTGCTGATTCACCTGGAACTTCAGGAATAGTTATCGAAAAATCCAAAAATTTAAAAAAGAAAAGGGGAAAAGAAGAGGACTCAGATGAGCTTCTGAAACCTAGAGATTCAGATGATGAAGTTGATGAAACACAAGACAAGGAGGAAGAAATTGAATTAACTAAAAAACTTGAATCTGGTTATTTTACCAAATCTGCAGCTGAAAAAAATCCAAGAATTAGGTCTAAAAGATTTTCAGAAAGCTGTAGGCGAATATATTTTAGTCTTATATGATGGCAGTCCTTATCCTGGAGTCATAACCGAAATTGAGGGTGAAATGGTTGAGATTAACGTAATGGTGAAATCATTGAAATCTTGGAAATGGCCTGAGAAGACCGATGAAATTTGGTATAGATGGGACAAAATACTTGGTCCGATAAATGCACCTAAGCAAATAACCAAACGTGTTTTATATTCTGTACCTGAGTGTGACCGATTTGGATGGAATTAATGTTTAACAGATTTGTGATTACCTATATTCAATTCATTTTAGGTTAAGTGTTATGCCTGATTGAATATTTCCTGTATTTTTTCAAATAATAAACTATTATAATCTCAAGTTGGGTTGATTATATCCCTAAATCCCTCAAAATTCCTATACCAAAAAAACCGCACGCTTGTAAACTTAATAACGGTGTGGGGTTTTTTTGCCTGTCCTGAATTTTATTGTAAAAAAAACAGTCTTGAATAAAGTGGTGCAAAGTAAATCCATCGTAAAGCCTACTTTGCACCAGATTTCAAATGTACATATTTCAAATATGTGTCTATATATCATGTTGAAATTAGGTATGCACTTATTTCAACACCTTTGATATTGATCTAAGCAATCGAAAAAATTTCAGTATCCCTCATAAGGTATGTATCACAAACTATTAAAAATAAAGTAAAAATGTGGAGCAAAGTAACCCCGTTTTACGGTATTAAAATAATTCTTTAAAGAAAAAGGTTGAAATGATATGTTTAAAATGCGTTATTTTAGAGCTCTTTTATGAAAACTACTTGATTTTCGTCAGGAGGAACATTCTCTATTGCTGATAATAGTATTTTTAGTGAGGAAATTCAAGATTCTTATTTTCGCCAGTTCTTCAATAAGCTTAACAATCGCAAGATTAAGTACGATTGGACGATAGTTAGAGGGATAGTTCATCAGTTCGGACCACCATTGTCTAATATAATTAAATTCATTTGAAATCCCTGAAAAAACTCTGTAAAAAATTAAAAAGGTTAACCGAAAAATAACAATTTCATTAAACAAAAAAACTGAAATTACAAAGAAATAACATGCAAGCAACAACAAAAAAAAATAAAAATTGAAATATTCATACAAGCTGATAATATTAATGCAGATTTCATCGATCCCAGATGATTTTTGATTTTTAATTGTAGATAGTACTTGTTTTTTTTTTGTGAAGTTCACCCTCATGCAAAACAAAGATTTCCACCACTTCGAGGCGTCCTAAATTCTTTGAAAGATCATCATATGATATAATATTTTTTAATTTTTTATTAGCGACTGAGCGGATCATTTCTGCTCTGAGCAGATAAGAACTCTCTCATATTGACTTGCGAATGTGGTATATTATATTGATTCAAATGTAATTTTCATTTGATTTTTTCATGAAATATGACTCAATTATTGCTTTTTTTCAGGCTGCCATTTCCAACTTGAAACAGGAGTATAAAGAAGGAGAAATGACACTAAAGGATGCAAAATCTCTGGCTATAAAAGTTCTTGTCAAAACTTTGGATATGGCTAAACTTACTTCAGAAAAAGGTAATTATAAATATTTCATTTTCAATTTATTCAAANTTTACTCAAACAGGAAAATGGTATGTTTGGCAACAGTAAAAAGTTACTACATTGAATTCCGATCCTAATAGCTATCTCCTTAGGATGGAATTGTTGCTCGATGATGAAACCTTGAATATCTACGACAGCTATTCTCATGTTGACTCTTCGATTGATACTGCAGCAAAATCACATGTTCAGTTCCATTTCTTGATAATTTCGCTGAGTGGGAGGTGTTCAATGACAGTGTCGTGCACAATGATACAATAGGCTCGTGTATTTTGTGCAAATCCCTCGGATGCTTCGATTTCAAGTTTTACATCAACACTGGAACTTTTGATGCTTTCATCCCTTCTAGAGCAATCGATGACAGAGAGAGTTTTTTTGCCGAAGCTCTTGGGGTATGTCCATCCTGAGATTGCCAAGTGTTTGATATCTTCATCGGTGTAGGTGAGGAAGCCTCTGACAGTACTAACAATTCCAACTTCACGAACTGCTTCCAATTCTTAACCATTTTGCTCATAGGTAGCAGATTGAAACATGAAACCACCAGCATTGTTTACGAAGGTCACATGATCATCTCATTTAATTCTCTCAACTTTTCCGCTAACGAATAGCAGGCTATCGTACAAAGCATCATAGACATCGAATTGGTTAATGTTGATTTCAATGACATCATTGTTGCGAATAGATTTTACATACGGGTAGTAGGTCCGCCATTCTACCTTTTGTATGGACTCATCGTTTTGCGGTTTTCGGAAAATGTTGAACACTTGATTGGACTAAATGATAACCCAGAGATTTCAGGAATAATTTATTCTCCGTTGACAGTTGTTGACGCTGTTTGAAAGTCTTGGTGAAGACTGACGTGGGGCTGGGTGATGAGTTATACTTACAGATAGTTAACACAATACTTTCACTTCAATTCCAAACGAACTATTATTTCTTCGTTTCTGAAATCAACGAGCCTACAGTTTTGGTCGAGAACTCGCAATGTAATGTTGTTTATTTCGTTCGTATGAGAAATGGGTAGATAAATAAAATAATTAGGTGTTTCGTCAATTGGGTAACCAGGATCAACATCAACGGCAAATTGGTATATCGTATGAGATGGTGTGTCGTTGTAGAAGGCTCCAAACATTATGTTGCTATCTATGTGTATGTTGCGTACTTTAATGATAACCACAGGTAGATCGGATGCGTAATGCAAGTTGGGTTTGAGAAGAGTAGATGAAAAGCCCAGTATGTGAGCCAAGCTATTTGCAGGTGGGAAATCAATCGAGTGTTTCAAACAAAATATTTCGCTTTTCAGCGTATTATTGTTCGGTTTGAGATAGAAAAATTCCTGGGGATTTTCCTGGTGCGTTTTAGGCATAATATATTTGCTTATTAAAGCTTCAATGTCACCAATTTCGTAAGATCCGGAAGGGATATCGATACTTTTTTGTTTAGTTTTGTCATCGTTTTCGTAATAATAGAATTTCGTACCTTCTTCAATTGTCGGTATACTGTTGTACGAATGGAAACTGAGCAAAGCCAAACTGTATTCTGAATCGGAATCCAATCGAATCGGTGGATTGAAAACGATGGAAAGTATCGAAGAACGACTCGTTAGAGTTAATATCACAGACATGACTGATACATTTCCCACATTTACACACTTTAAATAATGCAGACATAATGAAGTAGAAACTGAAGGCACATATGCCCGCAATTACTCTGGTCAAAATTTTGATACCGATCATTGTTATATGTAATCGTTATACCCCTTTCAAAATATCGCACCAATTCCATCGGAGGTTTGAGATTACCGAAACTATCAAAATATTGTACAGCATTGCCGTTTTTAATGTAAGCTACCCAATGGGTGCCTTTATTCAATCGAGAATCCAAGTTCAAAACAGCACATTCTCGCGGCCAAGGACCACAAATTGGCAACGCATCACGCATAAAGACTCCACGAAAATGTGGTATTTTCAATTGATGGGCCACACTTTTGAATTTTCGAGTCATATAATGCTCTATGGGGTAGCTTCAACAGGAGTTTTTTTGTTGCTTTTTCAAGTAAAGGCCTCGTCCTTTGCGTTGATGTTGTATTTTTAGAAACAGACCAAATCACCGAGGTGTTTTGCGCAAGTACAAACCGGAACCCAAATGTTCCATAGCTTTATTGTGACGTTGATCTTCTTCGAGTTTCTCTTTGGCATTTTTTGCATCTATCACTGTTTTTGCGATGGCGCTCGCTTCGCCTACCAACGAACCCAAAGCTGAAAGACCTGCAAATATGGATGTTAGTGGTAGGATTCCTCCAGATTTTGCTTCGAATGGAATAACTCGCGGCATACGTAAATTATATTTCTCGTTCACACAAAAGGGTTTTTAAAAACTTTTTATTTGAACAGAGTAACAACTAATAACTATGAAATATAAGTACCTACTGGCTATTACAAATCAATTGCACCTATTTATATATAAATTACTGCCGACTTTGCAGATATCAGCAAAATAATTGATGTCGTCTTCGGGTCAAATCAGTAAGGCAAAACACGTTTTCGACAAGGGTTACACACCCAATTGGACTACGGAATTATTCAAAATTATCAAGGTCAACATTACAAATCCCGCCACCTTTATGCTAGAAGATATGCAAGGTAAGCCTATTAGGGTGTCGCCAGGACGGTACCTGGGGATGTCGAGTAAAGATGACACCCGGCTGGGCGTGGAGTCTCGAGCATTTCAGTTTCACGTAGCTGCTTTTCCATCACCATACGATTAAAACCAATAGTTCGGCTGGATTATTAGATTCCCTGTTTTTAACTAAGCTAATTGCGCCGCGGGGGTACAACTGGCCACCACGATGGCACTAGACCGGACCAGAGGGTTCCCTACGCTCCCTACTCCCTATCCGACACACACTTCGCGCCTTGACCTACCTAAAATCACTATCTCCGAAGATGAGAACGGCCTTCGGAGGCACACGGACGATTTTAAGCCCTAAGACGACAGTGCAATGGAGCAACTCACGTGAGTTACTCCGTAGTTGTACTGGGTCGGCGTACCTCCAGATGTATTCGGGCATGGCTAGGTCGAATACGTCGAAGGAGGCCGGCTAGTTGGTCCCTCGATGACGAAGCGTTGTAATCGAATTCGTTTATTGCAAAAGTCCTGAAAAGGACAGGTTTGAACTGAAAAGTTCAGTTTTTATTATTATCTGCAGCTCCTAGTATTCCTTAGTATAGTTCTGAAAAGGACGACTCACAGAACTACGTCGTTCTATTATGGTATCACAGCAGCGTCCTCGTAGAAATTGTATCCACACATCCAATATCTCGGAAATGTCCTCCTTTGGAATTTTATTTATCGCCTTTGCCTTGAAAAAGGCAAATTTTTAACGTTGGTTGATTAACGAATTCACTTAGGGAAGTATCTTGGGGGATTCGTTTTACTTCCCTAATCTCTGAAAAAGAAACTTGCAGCTGTAGACTTCTTTCAAAATGTTTCTAACTTTTAAACCAACTTTCAATATTATGGTCCAATGCTAATTATCAATAATGCTCTCTCACGAAGTGTACTCTACTAAAGCCAGAGCCCGAGTCTCAGACTGAGTCTCTCTAGCCTGCAAAACGCTCTATATTTATCCTAACCTGATTCGTCAGTTTCTGAACTATATCTTGGATTTGGTAACAAGGGGTGCTTTCTATGGGGAAGAATTACAAAAAACTGCAAATCCAGATATATATCTCGTGGAAAAAGTGCTGAAGAGGAAAGGTAAAAAACTTTACGTCAAATGGTTGGGCTTGGATAACAAACATAACAGTTGGATTGAAAACGTTGATTTTGTATAGAATCTTATGGAAAACAAGCACACTCACATTGTATTGAAAGGGAGGCCTTTTGTGAAGAAATATTTAAGTGTTCAACGCAAACACAAAATATTTGAAATTGATCATGTGATCTGAAGCTATAAGAGCGCATGCAAACACCGATGGATTTTCAGTTTGAATAAATGTCTCTCGACAGTGGTTATGGTAGTGAAGTTGAAGTAATGTGTGACAGTGATTGTGAAAATTACAATTACAGTGCAATCGATAGAGCGTTGGGGCAGTACGAAATAGCTGCTCGAAACGAACACCAATTGCTATTGATGACATTCCCCATGTCATCTTATGAAATTCGATGCGGCCTAAGTTCATCCAGAGACTTCAGTCCATGCATCTTATTGAAGCAACAATTCTCCGTTCGTTCCATCAATTTAACAACTTATGAATTGGCGAACCTAATTGACATCCTGCAACAAGTGAAGGAAAATTTCTTCAATTCACAAATCGATGACTATGTAGACGAGTTTGATCCAATCACAACACGTTGCGGGGATTACATTTACGTCACACAGTACATCGAAAGTAATACCAAACAAGTTTCCATTTCCAAGGAAACCACGAACATGGAGCTATTTCAACAAGATGTAAACGATGTCTTAAACACACATATGGGGGTGCTGTCTGATAGTATCGCTATGCTAGATGCCATAAACTGTTGTGACTATTATCGAGGTGTTTTCAAAATTATTCAATTATGGTTACGTGAAAATAAAACCAATTTGACTTTGGAAGAAATTCGAAAGTTTTTGTCAAGCCTCATCTTTAGATAGTATGTTGGCTAATGCTTTACGTGAATATTCATTTTATTATAAACAAAAACTAGTGTATGATTTATGTAATAAANTGAGTAGTCCTTGTATCAATATATGGTTCTGAAAACAACCGGGGTCTTCAGTATTCCAATATTCGTTCAGAATCATTGTTGATACGTTGATGAACTGGTATAATTCATTTGGGCTTCCATCGTATTCGGGTACAATCCAAAAATTCTTCAGGTCGAATTGTTTTGCCATGTTGATGGGATTTAAAGGTTGGTCAATTGTTTGAGGAATAATGGATGGGCGAGAATTGATACTTGAAGGTGAATTTGGTAAAACTAAGGTAGGGGGACGTAAAATAGTATTTGCAATTGATGAAGTTGAGTTAATTTGTGCTTACAGGATGACGAAGATGGCTCGTTGCATATTCTGTCACCAAAAACTCATTTCTATGTAGATATTCCTTGATGGACGATAGTGAGGAGGTATTCTTGTCTACGGCCGGAATTCTTCCTGGAGTACTTGCTTCTTGGTGGAACTTAGTTCGGGAGAATAGTGGATAAATGTTTGAGAACGACGAGGATCTTCTAAGGACTCTTCCACTATCCTATCGACTCCGCCAATTATATTTCTCGTTCACACAAAAGGGTTTTTAAAAACTTTTTATTTGAACATAGTAACAACTAATAACTATGAAATATAAGTACTGGCTATTACAAATCAATTGCACCTATTTATATATAAATTATTGCCGACTTTGCAGATATCAGCAAAATAATTGATGTCGTCTTCGGGTCATCGAACAATATCCTGCTAATGTAAGGGGTTATCGAACTGTAACTCGTATCTTCTTACGTCCTCCAGCTTTATGGACAGCCATTTTTGCCGCCATTAGAGCCGATGCCGCAGATTTCTTCACGTCGTTCGTCGTAGGCTTCCAGTTTTTGATTATATTTTGCAAAATGCTGCGTCGAAATGATTTCACACCCATTCCTAATTTCTGTTTGGACTTCATTATTCCGGTGACGAATAAAGCCTTCTCGCCAAGTGTTGCGTCTTTAAATTTCACTCGTTGCCACGCCTTTTCTTCGAGAGCTTTATCAGCTCGATGTCTAGCTTCAAGAGACGTATTTTGCGAATATGCCAAGTCGTGTTGTTTACAAGCCGAGTCTACGATATACCAATTTGCCGTTAATACCAGGATCGCCTCGTGCAAGACGTTCTTGTAGTTTCGTACCAGGACCGCAATAATGATAGCCAGGTAAGTGTAATTCGAATGGTAGCTTATTGATTAGCGAATTGACAATACCTTCTCTGTGATAAGTCAACATTTGGAATGATGGATGACGTCAATGTGCACGCTACATATTGAAGTGAATCTACCGATCATCGATCAGAACATGGAAGTCGTTCCGTACATTACCCATAGACAACTTGGACTATTTGGATGATGGCGTCAAGTATCGAAATAAACACGGCAAGTTGTTGCCCAATTCGTTTCGCTCCATCATATGTGGTCCGTCAGGGTGTGGAAAAACCAACACAGCATTATCGATATTATTTCATCTGAATGGAGCCAAATTTGAAAATGTCTATGTGTACTCAAAGTCGTTGTATCAACCCAAGTATCAGTTGCTTCGAGAGATATTGGAAAAAACCAAAGGAGTCGGTTATTTTCCATTTCGAGACAACGAAGAAATTCTCAGTCCAGAGGCGGCTAAACGAAATTCCATATTCATATTCGATGATGTAGCCTGCGATGGTCATTGTTTCAGGGATTTCAAATCATTTTATATAGTAGACAATGGAAGTCCGAACTAGTGAAATTTGTATACAGTAACTTGCATTTTTCCATGCTCATAGTAGGTAACATGAATTCGTAATGATATTGAAACATACATGTTTTTGACAAATCCAAAATTGCCATGCTCACATATATCGGTTTATTAAATATAAGTTCGGTCTTATTCGATAGCCATCAAGTTTGAATCGAAAATTGTACGATTATGAAATCGAGGGCTGGAAATGAGATTTTTGTCGCCAAATCTGCCCTTGTAAGAGGACACTAATTTCACTATTCGGTGCAACCAGATATTTTTCATGGTTTTCCCAAAGATCGCGTTGTTGGCTAATTTGAATTGGTTTTTTTCGAAAGACGTATTGGCTGCAGTCCTCAATCGAGTATTCCACTCCATATAGAGACGTAGTCATGCAGATTGTTTAAATTTAAAAACTTTATGAATTTTAGTTAATTTCAATCCATGCTCGAGGGCCTGTTTCAAATTTCTATAGTGTAACGTATACTCTGTTTTATTATAGAGAGTTGGCATCAATTTTGCCAATTTGGAATTTGGTGGAGTGCGGTGCTCGGGGCAAAATGGAAAATCTTTGTGTGAATCGTGAAGTCCCTCAAGGGTACTCTAAATCAACTTGTAAAATATATCCTTCTGAATTGTCATCGGGAATTTGAGATACATCAATATTCGTATCGACCCATTCGCCTCCATATGGCAAATATTGTGACATATATTTGGATGATTCCGTTGGATCATATGTTGGCATATACTTGTTATTGGCTTCCGAATATCTATTACAACAAACCGAAATTCCACCCCTTATACCCTCTTCCACAAACATAACCATATCGACGTCTTTTAAAATTTGTAGTTTACACCTCGTATATTTCAACATATAATCCCACATCTAATCCGGCATATTATAATACCACGCAGGATCTAGCCCATATGTTTTCATGTCAATTTCACGAAAGTCTTCAAAAACGTCTGTCAAAAGCAATATATCAGTTCGCATGTATGAATCGCTGTATTCTCCCAAAGTTTTGATATCGAATAGATGCCAAACGCGTTGAGCATGAGCATACTTTGCATCGTCAATGTCACAATCGTTCAATTTATTATAAAAATGCTTTATGGATGTTAACTCAGTGTCGAGAAGTTTTTCCACACCATCCGCATAATGGTATGGGAATACGTCTTTCTTATTGAGAAGCTCAAACTTCTCATCGTTGTTGTTGGGAAGTATGCTTTCTTTTTTTGCTACATCTCTTATAATAAAATGACTACCATATCCACTCAAATTGTGGAATGTAGTGGGTACGATAAAAAGCCTCTTGAACGATAAATTGCAAGCTTGGTGACTCCATCCCCTAAACAACACTGAAAAGTGACAATGGTGTCTGACGATGATATCTTTTTCGGCAAAAGGTCAATATCTGCGTTTAGCAAAAAACGGCAGAACCGTATCCGTCTCGCCGGATCCGTTTCCTCCAAGCCTTGCACACCCGTGCCATAGTGGTATTCGATTTCACAGTCATCTGTATCTTGAGGCAAAGCGTCATACTCATTAAATTTAGGAAAATATAAATTTTGAATTAACAGTAAATTTACATGTTTATTCAATTCATTTTGGTTAATCGTGCAGGCACTACTTCATAAAATGTCTTTTCATTGACAACATTAATTTCTAAACTATATACATTCACAGAAATATCGTTTTGTTTTTCAAATTTTGTGATGCAGCGAATTGGCATAGGAATTTCCAAACCCTTTATATTTAAAACCGAATCATAATTTGGATATGAAGATGCACGTGTAATCTTTCCTTTGGGAGGATACAAACCACTTACGATTGCTCTGAAGAAACACGCATCATCTTGATTATCAAGATTCACACATGCATACTTGTTTGCAATTTCTTTGGGTAAACGTATGAATGATGCACCGTTGCCCATTTCATATTTATTGATTGCTACCTCAAGCAAAAGAATTTTACTCAATGCCCAACCAGAGTCTCTTTCCTGAAATTCATCGAGTTTATTCAAAATAACATCCACAACATGTTCATTGTACCAAGTAGACAAATCTGTCTCCAAATCAATGATTTCATTACGAGTATTGAAATATTTTCTATCGATAATTTCCCCGTCATTCGATATTTTGATGAAATCCCCCAATAATGTCATGTTCACTTTGGAATTTTGGAAATTCTAGATTTGAAAAGAAAATATGCATCACTCAAAAATTTTGGCACTTTGTGCGCTAAATTTATAATTACACCTGTCCTCACTTTACCTTAGAAAATTGCATTTACATTTTCCCATTTAACTCTACTGCTTCGTTTCAAACCTGATCCAATATACTTATCGTTTTTCATAACATTTATTATACATCTAATGCGCTTCAATTCCCAAATTTTACTAATAATTTTCTTTTTTCACCCAGTGAAAATTTAATTTTTTTCATTGCCGACTCACATTTTCTAATATGCCTACTAATCAAATTCAACGACGTTCGTGCAACGGAACTTGAATAATTTTGTTTAATTAATTCAAGCAATTTATCAATTTGCGATAAAGTTTTTGAAAACACCATTTTCAACTTCAAAAAAAAAAAAAGTTTTTCCTGCGACAAATACACAAATGAATGCTTGCTGAACGCTGCAAACGGAAGCTGGAAGTACTACTCGGTATCTACCGCTGGAAAAACTCGAACCTTGGTCAAACGTGGTGAAGCAATGAACGGAGATGATTCTCAAAGTTAAGCGATGAAACATGTTTCTGTTGTACTGAGGGGCGGAGGGTATATAACTATCTGAAAATTGAAGAAGAAAAATTAATCTCAAATCACACATCTTACCACTTACAAAGAAAAACAAATGAAAAACAACAATACTAACCTCAATTTTCTACAATTTCGAAGGATGTTGCAGGATTGGCTTTCCCCGTATTGATCAGCCCTCTGAACACGATGGCGTACTTTTCTTTTTCGAAATGATTTATAAATTACTCGTAGGTCTTTGTAACTCTGCGGTAGAAACGTTATATGCTTCTCCAACTCGAGCAGTACTGTCTTTCCAAATTTCGTCTGCACGAATTAGTCTGGGAAAATTTTCAGCGGCTCTCCTAGCGGAAGATTTTGTAATTTCTCCACAGGTTTCTTATTCTCTGTGTCTACAAGATAAATTCCGTTAATTTTGTTTAGATCCATCTACAACAGAAAATTGAAAGAAAATGAAATTTTTCCATATTTCGAATCGAGAGAAATTTTCACACGCAATTTTGAATGAAAATTTTAAAAACTTTTTACGGAAAACGAAATATTTTGGTTTTGAAATGAAAAACACAATTATGAGCAAAAATTTTGAAGACTGTCTGAAATAATTATAAATACGTACGTACACACACATCTTGGAAACGAAATATTTTGGATTTGAAATGAAAAACGAAATTTTTTACTTGCACAAACACATGCAATTTCAAACAAACATTTTGAAAACATTTTACAGAAAACGAGATATTTCGAATTGACAGAAAATGAATTTTTTCGTTTGCAAAACATGCACAGTTTTAAACAAAAATTTTGAGTGATTATAAGTACCTATAAACACCTTGGAAAACGACATATTTCGGTTTGAAATGAATAATGGAATTTTTCGATTACACCAACACTGTAGTACACAATTTTGAACAAAAATCTTGATATTATTTTACGGAAAACGAAATATTTTGGTTATTAATTGAAACATGAAATTTTTCGATTACACACACACAATTTTGAGCAAACATTTCGAAAACATTTTACGGAATCACACGTTAAAATGTAAGACCTCGTTAGTCCTTAGCTCGCACAAGTTTCTCAACTTCTCAGAGTTGTCGTTCGTATGGGGGCGACAGCTGATTAACGGAAAAACAGATTTTTTTTAAAACAGAAAACGAGATATTTCGAATTGAGAGTAAATGAAATTTTTCGTTTACAAAAACACACACACAGTTTTAAACAAACTTTTTGAAATAATTATAAGTACGTACAAACACCTTGGAAAACGAAATCTTTCAGTTTTGAAATGAAAAATGAAATTTTTCGATTACACACACGCAATTTTGAACAAACGTTTTGAATACTTTTTGAAATAATTATAAATACGTGTACACACACACATCTTGGAAAACGAAATTTTTTGGTTTTGAAATGAAAAATGAAATTTTTTGATTAAGCCAACACTGTACTACACAATTTTGAACAAAAATTTTGAAATCTCTTCAGTTAAAATCATTTCACTGAGTTTTGCAAATAAAGTGCATGATTAGACATTGTTTTCAAGGCAAATTTCGTACTTACATCTGTTTATTGAAGATAATGTACACACACACAAACGCAACAGAAGCACAGTTACAACTGATGAGGTAACCGTTTTTATGCAGATGGCCTACTAACCGTAGCAAACATCCGCCTCATACTCCCCCGTAATATTTTTAATCCTTGACTCGAAATGTGAAATAAAACGAATATTTGTGAATATTCAAATATTTATTATTTGAACCAAATTAAATATATTTCATTCAGTTTCATAATTATTTCTTGAGAAACTCTAATCAAAATACAAGCTAATATCGTAGATACTATAATGAGAATTCTATAAAGGTCAAATTCCATTTGTGACTTCTTTTTGTTCAGCCTTGCGTGTTCTGGAATGAAATCGACAGTTTTTGTATCAATTTCTCGAAAATCGTGGAATATCAGCCTCAGTTTATATTTGAAGGAGGTATTTTTCGGGACTTTGCTTACAAAAACTGCCAATTGGTCGTCATTGACAAATGTTGAACTCATCAATTTTCATTGTGTTCTATTGATTCCATGATCGAAATTATTGGGCTTCACACAAATTGCCATGAATTTAACGCCCTTTGGTACGTTCACATACGAAACGTTATTTATTATTGCACTTAAAAGCACAAAATTTAATCTTAGCATTGGCGGCGACATAATCTATGCTGTGAGGTTGAATTCTTCGCAGCGGATATCTCGTTTGAGGCACTTTTCGATCGAATACTCTGTCTTGAATATTTAAATTATCCAACCGATTCAAAACAATCTTTTTTTTTTCGAAAAATTCAATGGATTTCTTCAATTCTTGAGCACGATTACAAAACTCTTCAACTTTTCGTCTGTATTCTTCAGATATCATTTTATCACTAAATATTTCAACTGTTTAACGACATTAACATTCTTTCGAAAAAAATAATATAACCCTCCTGCGTGTTTCCTTTATCCTCACTCCCCCTCCCCATTTCCCAACTAACACGAAAAAACGCATCTGACGTATTTTGAAATGTCATTGCTGAATACCCCCCATTGCCCCATTTTCAAACGTTTCACATTGGGATCGCACGCTAAAACGTTAGACCCTCCCCACCTGACATGTTTTTTCTTAAATGAGACACCCTGTACTTATTGAGGAATCACACAACAAAACGATAAGATCCTCATTAAACTGTCATGTTTTTTAAATGATGTATTTTGAGACACTCATTATTATTACTATTACTTACTACCGTAAGTACGGTAGTGAGTGTGAATTATGTTAGAATAGTTTATAGCAACCGAAATATATAGAGGAACCAGAAAATGAATTATGTTTCAAGATTATTAAAAATACTAAAAATAACTAGACCAAATAATTTGGATGAGTTGGTTGAAATAGAAATAATGTTGAAAATTAGAAAACGTTTAGAAAAATATGATGAATATGGAATTCAGGAAATGTATATGAATGCTAATTTGTAAAGAAAATAAATTATTGTAACCTGAACTCAAAGGGAATAATTAAATGGGTTAAACTGAGCAATAAGTGAAATGTTGAATATATACAAAACTTAAAAAATAAAATAATGAAGATAATTGATGGAATAATGCAAAAAATTAGAAATAAAGAAAAAATGTAAACATAGTTATTTTATGACATTTCACTTGATGTTCAAACCGTTTATCAATTCATTTTTGTTCGTTTTCTTGAATTGCAAATTCATTGATAATTTTTTTTTAAATTTGTCAACCACATCAACATTACCAAGGGTCCGCGACTTTTGCAGAAAGAAATGATTCAAAAAGTCGAACAAGTGGAAGGTGATATTAGGGAACGACAAATTTTCAGCAACAAAGTAAAAAAAGTTGAAAATGAGTTGGGAATAATCAATGAACGAACTATAGAGGAAGTGAACAAGATACAGGATGAATAGGTAAGCTAAAGGAACATTTCTACATTGCCAGCTAACTAGTTCAGCTTGGGCAGAGTACACCCGACTCAATAAGGACAGCCTTATCAGCAGTGACAAAACCTTAACAAGGTACACTTCTACTTTCAATGGCTGTTAATGATAATGAGTCATGTACCATTGGAACTTCGAGGCAGAGCTTATGCTAACACCTGAAAAGAAAAGGAATGGGCCACTGCCTAATTCTAGCACTGTGAAGTCGTGAAATACTTCAGATCATTATTTCGAGTAGCCAGAATAATAATCAAAGGATCGTGGAAGCTCTGAAATATGCAACTTGAAACAAGTATACCAGTGCTCACTCAAGATTCGATACCAATAACCACAGAAAACCTTGCTAGAATATGGAGCTTATTGATATCTCATAATTTATAATATTTGTTTGTATTGTTCGTAAATGAAGATTTTATGGGACATTTAGTCTCACAATAAATAGGCTAATGAAAACATAGAAATCAAGTTGTAGAAAAACGTATGGTTATACATACATGATGTTTTTAATATTTACAGTATTTTGGCAGCAAGTATGACTTTTGATGCATTATCCTTAGTGCGGTGAGAATGATTCAGTACTGATTTCTATTTATCAGGAAAAATAGTTTTAAGGTATTTCAAATGCACTGACCTGTTACTTGGTGAAAATCAATAACACTATTCATGATATTACAAATGTTCACAATATAGACTTCATTTTCAGTACACATTTCACTACATAGTACTTGGACCAGTCCAACTGAGGATGCTACTATGTAGTGAAACGCTCCATTGGAAATAAAGTCTATAACTGTGAATATAGTTTTATTGTTTTTCGGAAAGAAAGTTTTTGGCTTTCCACTACTCCATCTTCATCCAAAAAATGTGGGAATCTTCCAAAGAAAGGAAGGATGCAATAAATTTCAAAAGAAGTTACTCTATCCATAGATGTGTAGATCATGCAAAGAAGTAACTTTCAGTCACAAACTGGAAGAAAAAGCCTTCCTGAAACAACTACTTTCATATAAACAGTGAATTACACGAAAGAAATTTTCGTTTAAAACAAATACTTTTATATGAACAAAAAACACTTTTTATTGTAACTTTGATCGATGTTCAAGACTGCGATATCCTTGTCGTCCGCACAAAAGTGGCATATCAATATTTTGTATTTATATATTTTTTTCTGGCTGGGTGTTTATATTTGATACACGTTCATCTAACTATTTTCATTGAAATAAAGATTGCACAAAATGAATGACGTGTTCAGGTATATCCAAGAAAAATTTTTCCTTATATTGGTGGAAAATTTAATTTAATTTTTCTTTCAGTGGAAATGGCTACTTTATCACGTGTGAATAATAAAACAGTAATCAACATTTTGAGCAGTACAGAAGTGGAAAACTTGATAAGTGAGTTTGAAAAAAATGAAGCTACTCTTGAGGCTACCAGAAAAGAACAGAAACAAGCAGTCTGATTGATTTGTTTTTATATGTTTATTTGAAGCTGTAAATGAAAACATGATAAGCGAACATTTTTTTCATTTTATTTTTGCTAAAGTTCAATGAAAGTATGAAATAAATGAAAATATATTCTTTCAGTCTTTATTACAAGCTGCAAATGTTTGTATGTGTATAATATGTATGTAGGTCAGATGAAATCTTGCAGCTGAATTTTGAATCGATTGAGCTGAAATTTTGCTTACATGTTTAATTTGGATGACAATGCATGGTTAGCTCAGTGACGCCGTAACGCATCTAAAACAGTTTGCTAAACAGAATATGAAAAATAAAGTAACATCACTTTCAATTTATTATAGCAGATCGCCCAAGATGGTGGACTAGTTTTTTTATGCCACCTCATATAGTGGGTGTTAAATGAAAGAATCATATGACGTCATTCTAAATCAAATATGATGACTAGTTTTTTGTTTTATTGTATCATATTGTATCATGGAATTTTGGTGGAATTGTCTAGCGCATTCGATTACGATATACAGGGTGGCCCACCACATTCGCCTCGGTATTTCTACAAGAAATGAAGAGAGTTAGGGAAAAACTTTTAGCACAGTTATATGTGGGTCTATGAGGAGCATATTCCAAAATTATTTGGAAATATATAGGGTGACTCCCAAAAAAGTTACATACCAAAGTTATATTTTTTCTTATGGAACAACTTATATTTTTTTATATTTTTAGATACTATAGACAAAACGAAGGTGAGTAACTATTATATTTCCCATTCTCAAAACTGAGAAATTTTGAGAAATTTGAAAATACAGACCATAATTTAAAAATTGTTTTCACCCAGTAACGTGTAACGAGCTGCTCGTGATTAAATGTACTGCTTCGCTCAAAGGTTAAAGTTAACTACCACATGAAATTTTTAATGCAATATTATTCAGAGTGGCGAAAAAAATTGGCTCAAAATTTGGACACACATTTAATTAAATAACTTCTTAAAGTTGAATGGAACACCCCGTATTTAGTGGCGTAATTTGACGCAGAAGTAAATTTCCTTCAAAACTATATTGGGGTTTCCTATACATATCTCTTCTGCTTTTTACACAAAAGGCGTTTTTATATTTTACTTATAAGTAATATTTGTATCTTCAAATGAAATTGTAATGAAAAGCTTGAAAAGCGTCTCAAAAACCTTTTCATTAAAGAATGCATAGATTCGCTAAAAGCACAAGTTTAAATTTTTTGTAAGTAAGGTGTATCTAAAGTAAAATGTAGGCAAATGTAAAAACTCAAATTTATTGCCACTCCTGAAATATTAAAAAGCATTCTTCAAAATAAGGAGATGCATGTGTCCTGATTGCTAAGGCAAAATATGTTAAATCCGCTTGTTCCTTAGCAAATATATTAGACTTCATAGTGAAATAAATACCAAAATTACAATATGGGGTCAATAATAACATACATTTACGATTGCCTATAAAACCTGTTCTACTATTTTTTCAATAATAGTAGGCTCTGGCCTAGATGACGTTAATTATTATTATGAAACAAAAAGTATTTGACAATGACAACTTGTTAATCAAACCATTATCATTGTTTTAACTAGTTAAAAATTATTGTCATTTTGAAATATTGTAAAATGAGAACTTATCCCCAGGAAAAACGAATTGATATGATTTTGAAAATGGGTGAGTGTGAAGAAAACTGTTTATTAGCGTCAAGAGTAAATGCCCAATGGTATCCTAACAGGATTCATCCTAAAAAGCGTTCAATGGAAAAGTTGTTGCAGCTTTTCCGAAGAACAGGCAGTGTATTTTATAATATGGAAGAACGGCAAAAACCGGTTACTGGAAATGAGGAAAATAAATATTTAGTGATGTTATGTCTAATTGAATAATACCCTCACACAAGTCAACGAGAAATATGTGAAACAACTGAAATAAGCAGACAGTGTATCCAAAGAATAATTAAAAATTACAAATTCCACCCGTATCGCGACTACATAAACTGCTTTTTGAAAAAGATTATGATCAACGACTGAATGTTTGTTTATGGGTTTAAAAAAAGTTTGACGATGAAGAAACTTTTTTTTGATTGTGCTTTTTTCCGATGAGTCAACTTCTCATAACAACAGATTAGTTAACAGACATAAGTTTCACTACTACAGTGACGAAAACTCGTAATATTTTTAGAACCCTTGATCACCAGCACAGATGATCTGTTAATGTGTAGGGTGGAATAATTGGAACGCAAGAATATATGCTAGGCCGGTTCTAAAAGCTGGCTTATGGAGATTTACATGGGAAAATTGCTGAAGTCCATCGTGGCATTTTTTGTTCCTTTCAAGGTCACGCGTACGGCCGAGAATCGAGCAGCGTTATCGCGCTTTGGAAGATAACGATTCGAGCGCGCTTGAAATAAAATGAAAACAATAATATACGAGGTGTGTGTGGTGTTAAAGGAAAAAAACATGGCTGCCAGCGTTAAAGAAAAATACATGGCGGCAATGTGACGGGCATTGAGTGGAGTATACAGGGGTGCGTCAAAATACATAATTTAAGAAAAAACAACGTGACAGTTTAGCAGGAATGTGATATTTCAACGCGCGATCCATAGATGTGTGTACAGGGTGTCTCAAAATACATCATTTTAGAAAAAACATGTCGGCAATGTAACAGGCATTGAGCGTAGTATACAGGATGGGTCAAAATATGTCATTTAAGAAACATGACAGTTTATCGGGGCTCTATCGTTTTAACGTGTTATTCTTCAATATATACAAGGTGTCTCATTCAAGAAAGAAACATGCCAGGGGGCCTAACGTTTTAATGTGCGATCCCAATAAGAAACGTTTGAAAATGGGGCATCAGGGGTATTCATCAATGACATTTCAAAATACGTCAAATGCGTTTTTCCTTCTAGTGTTAGGTGGAAAAGGGGGGAGTGGGGGTAGAGAATACAAGAATACATGTATTTGCCAACGTAATAGAAAAAAACATGGCTGTCATCATGATATACAGGGTGTCTCATCATTTAAGAAAAAAAACATAACTTTAATGTGTACAGGGTGGCTCAAAATACGTCGGCGTTGTTGAATTATAAAAATAATGGTATAATAATAATAATGAATGAAAAATTGGATTAAAGAAAAAACATGGCTACCAGCGTTAAAGAAAAAAATGGCTGCCATCGAGATATACAGAGTGTTTCATCGTTTAAGAAAAAAACATGACAATGTGTACAAGGTGTCTCAGAATACGTCGGTGTGGTTGAATTACAAAAATAACAGTATAATAATAATAATAATGAATGAAAAATTGGATTAAAGAAAAAACATGGCTACCAGCGTTAAAGAAAAAAATGGCTGCCATCGAGATATACAGAGTGTTTCATCGTTTAAGAAAAAAACATGACAATGTGTACAAGGTGTCTCAGAATACGTCGGTGTGGTTGAATTACAAAAATAACAGTATAATAATAATAATAATGAATGAAAAATCGGATTGGAAAAAAACATGGCTACCAGCTTCAAAGAAAAAAAAACATTATTGCCATCGAGATTTACAGGGCGTCTCATCATTTTTGAAAAAAAAACCATGACGTCAATGTGCAGGATGTCTCAAATGCACCATTAAATAAAACACGTCGTTTCTGGCTCAAAATCCTATGCTTTTTCTTATGGAGCTGAAGTTTAGTCATTTTCTGACTTAGTAGCGGAACCCTGTGGAATACCCAACTCGAGGTATGTAAGAGTTATACGATGCAATATGTATGTGTATATGAGGAAGAAGGTGATGACGTCAGCGTGGAGTAGAGAAAAATCACATGGTGACATACCGAAAGGGCACTAAGCGATATCTTCGTTAATAATAGTCTCATCGTCACATACAGCACATCAAATGAAAGGAGAAGAAATGAAAAATTCACCGACAGAAAAAAAACAAAGATTGCGACCAGAAGGGCACTAAGCGACATCTTCGTTAATAATAGTCGCATCGTCACGTACGGCACATCAAATGAAAGGAGAAGAAATGAAAAATTTATCGACAGAAAAAAAAACAAAGATTGTGATCATCGAATCGTCACGTACAGCTCGTCAAGTGATATGGAAAGGAATGCAGAATTAATAGACAAAGAAAAAACAAAGATTGCGGCCAGAAGGGCACTAGGCCACATCTTTGTTAATAATAGCCAGATCTCAACGTGAAGCACATCAAATGAAAGGGAAAAAATGCAGGATTCATCGACAGAGAATAAACAAAGATTGCGATCAGAAGGGCACTAAGCCACATCTTCGTTAATAATAATCGGATCGTCACGAAAAGCACGTCAAATAGAAGGCAAAGGAATGCAGAATTAATCGACAAATGAAACGTGTATACTCCACTCAATGCACGTTACATTGCCGCCATTTTCTTTTCTTTAACGCTGGCAGTTATGTTTTTTTCTTCAACACCACATACACCTTGTATATTATTGTTTTCATATTATTCCAAGCGCGCTCGAATCGTTATCTTCCAAACCGCGATAACGCTGCTCGATTCTCGGCAATACTCGTGACTTCGAAAGGAACCAAAAATGCCACGTTTGACCTTAGTCATTTTCCCATGTAAATCTCCATAAGTCAGATTTTAGAACGGGCCTACCTATACGCAAGTAGTAGGTTTTTACTTTTTTGATGGTCATTCAAACGGCGTCATGTTTCTCGGATTTATTAGGGATAATTTGCCTATGCTGTTGGAAATTATACCTCCTAATATTCGTCAATAGATGTGGATGCAGTTAGATGGTGCTACTGCACACTTTGATAGACGTGTTAGGAACGAGTTAGATCAACAATATCCAAATAGATGGATAGGATGAGGAGGTACACAAAACTGGCCAGCCAGGTCTCCGGACCTTGCAAGTCTCCATTATTTTTTATGGGGATATATCAAAAGTATTGTTCACGATACACCGCAAACGACACCTCAGGATATCCTGAGGTGTTATCCAGAGTTCAGCACTCATTACAAGAAAGAGTCGCCTATGCATCGATGATAATGGACACCATTTTGAGCATTAATTAAAATAATACACTATTTAAGATTCTTAATTTTTTTATAAAATGTCTCCAAAAATGCTTTTTTGCT